TGCCCGCCGTTAGGTCTACCAATTGATCTATCCGTGGTAAGGAAAAGCTGTCCTTTGGGCATGCTTTGTTGACTGTCTTGTAGTCGACGCAAACACGCCATTTGCCATTCTTTTTTGGTACCACGACTGTGTTGGAAATCCATCTGGGGTAATGAACCTCTCTAATTGCTCCTGCCTCCAGCAGGTTTCCCACTTCTTCTGCCACTATTTCGGCGTTGCGAGTGCGCTAAATGATTGGTCTGGCGAATGGGTGGACATTGAGTTGGTGACAGATGAAGTTTGGATCGATGCTTGGCATGTCGTATGGTGTCCAGGCGAATACTTCGATGTTAGAGGTCAGGAATTCTAAGACCTCTAATCTCTCAGTGCTGGACAACGATGAACCAAGCAAAAAGAACTTATCCGGGTTCTTATCATCTATCTCTACCTTTACCAAGTCTTCCACCGCTTTTTGGTCAGCTGCTTTGCCAACATCTACGAACAGTTCATTGTTCTCAGGTTCTTCCACCGAATGTACATATCCCTTGGCAGCGCGGGTGTCATTAACCGTGACGAAGCACTGTTTGGACATAATTTGGTCTCCAAAGACCTCTTCAATTACACCGACTTCATTGGGGAACCGCATTACTTGATGGTAGGATGACGCTACAGATCGCATGGCATGCAGCCATGTTCTTCCCAAGATTATGTTGTAAGTGGAATGGACTTTTAACACCCAAAACTCCACTTGTTTTGTCACACTTCCTGCCTTGACTGGAAGAATGATTTTGTCGACTGGCCATTCTGGCATTGAGTTGAATCCGATCAGGGGGGATACAGCCGGTACCAGGTCTTTGTCCTCCAATTTCAGTTGTTTGAAGGTGTCGTAGTACATTATCTCACACGAGCTACCTTGGTCTATCAGAATTCGTTTAACGTCATAGTCCTTGATACGGAGGGTGACGACCAGTGCATCGTTGTGGGGGCAATATATTCTTTCCAAGTCCTTGTCTGAAAAAGACATGACGTTCGTGGCCTCTGTTCTCCCCTTTTTGATGGTAGGTTGGGCACTTAGTACCTCCCTTAAGTGCTCAGCCTTCTTGATCGATCCTCTAAGCTCGCATACACGCTCAGGTTCGAATACCCCATGTATCACATTGATCACACCTTGAGGTAGGGCGTCAATTGGCATTCCATTGGGGTTATTATGGTCCTGGGGGACTGGTTGCGTCCCTCCTTCAATGTATTTATCCAAGTGACCGGCTGCCACCAACTCCTCCAGATGCTGTCTCAATGGCATACAATTTTCAGTGCGGTGCCCATTTTCTTTGTGGAAGGTGCATCGTGACCTTTCGTCGTAGTCTTTATGTGCTTCTCCTAGCTTAGCTGGCCATCTGACGAAAGGTTTATCGTGTATTTCACTCAGAATCCGGTAGATCGGTTTCTTGAATACCGTGGTTATGGCAGTGCGGACTCTCAACCATCATTTATCTTGGTCCTCTCCGTTGTCTCGCCTGCCTCGTTCGTTTTTGTTCGGACGTTCTACCGCGTTGATCTTTGCTGTGGTCTTCTTATCTGGTACTGCGGTCGTGCCATATTTTGTTTTGGTACGGGCGCCATCCTCTTCCACCTTGATGTGCTGATGCATCTTTCCATCAAGGCTTCCATGGTGAGGGGCGGTATCATGGTGATTGAGTCCCTTAGTCTGTTTCCGAATGGAAGGCCTCTTTTGTACTGTGCAATAGCGAGATTAGTGTGGGAGTCCCCAATCTGGTTGAATGTCTCCCAGTAGCGACTATTATAGGATCTTAGTGTTTCCTTTTCGCCTATGTCGATGGAGAGTAACTGGTCAATCTCCACCGGGGTTTTGGTGTTCGTTCTGAACCTTGTGACGAACGCCTCCGCCAATTGTGCCCAGGAGGCCATGCTGTCTTCGGGAAATTTTTTGAACCAAGTCAAGCCTAGGTTACCATGGCTTGATGGGAAAATGATGCACATCAAAGCCTCATTTCGCCGATATACCGCCATAATCTGGCGGAAGTGGCTTAGGTGTATGTAGGGGTTCGTCTTCCCCTCGTACGTGGTGAATTTGGGTTGAAGGAAACCTGAAGAAAGGGGCACGTTTTCAATTGCCGGAACGAACGGTGATGTCTGTAGCCTTGCTAATGCTTTGTCCGTTGGTTCGTAGGCAGAGCGTGGCAACGGCATTCCGACCTCAACGCTTCCATGCGTCTGAGGAGCCAACCGCTGAAGGGCAGATACCCTGCGAGGGTTGCGTGCCCTAGTATCCTCCTTCCATCGTGCCTTTTCTTCTAACATGTTCCGCAAATCGGATGATCTTGGTAACTTTGTCTGCCTGGATGATGTCTGGTGCGAGCACGAGGGTCGATAGGTACTTCCCTCTGTGTAAGACCTCAATGATCACGTTCTCTCAGACCTGGAGAAACGAGTTCTGTAGGCTCTAGATTGAGTATCGCCTGTCCTGAGGCTTCTACTCTCTGCTTGTGATTGTGTGGAATGCCTTCCATGATCTTCTGAGCGGCGAGGGGGCGTCTTGCTTTTGCGCCCCTCTCCTGTCGCCACTCCTTTTCCCTTCATCTGGCGCTTCAAGGCCTCCATGCCCGCCGTCATCTTCCTTATTAATTCATCTTGCTCCTTAACGCGGTCCTCTAGAACTTGAGGATCAATCCTCCTCCTTTGTCTGTCAGGACTTCGTGAACAAGAGTGACGGGGGTTGTTAGTCCGCCTCCTCCCCCTTGTATCCCTCCTGGGATTCTATCGCTGCGGCTCTAAGTCTGCCATGGGAGGGATAGAAGGTAGGCCTTCATGTCTTGCACCCCCTTCTGGTGTTTGTCCGTCGATGGCGGACTGCGGCAAATCTTCGTTGTGTGCCATTGCTTCTAAAGAGGAAAAGCTTGATCAAGAGGTTTTGTTCTTGTCTGAATTCCCACAGACGGCGCCAATTGTACGGGAAAGAAATAAACCTTCTCGTATAATCCTGTTGGTCAAGTCCGTGTTCCTCCAAACGTTATCGCTTTACTCCCTGAAAACACAAACGTGAGCTAACCGGCGGGTGTGTGTGCCAGAAACCCCTCTGATGCCTAAGTCAGCAAAATAGACAAGTAGAAAAAAGCTATGTGTATTCAGGAATCAAAGTTGTGTTACCTCTCCATAGGTGATGTTGGTGAGCTTTTATAGGTTCCGTATGGCACAATCCAAGTAGGACTCTTACTCCTCCATGTAGAGTCCTCCTAGGATTCATACTCCTAAAAGATAATGTCTATCCTTCAACACCCCCCTCACTGTTTAAACCAAATGAGATGGTTTTACCATGGTCGGACTCCAATGTGGCCGAGGTACGCATGGCTATGCTTAGCCGTAGAACAGACCGAACTATCTTTAGTTTGGTTCGTCCTTTTATTGCCCTTACCTCAGTTCCTCCTGTACAACCCGTGGTAGGTCTAAACCGAGCTAACTTTTAGCAAGGTTTAGACCGAGCTACCATACTGCGCCATAACCGGTATAAGTTTTAGTATGGTGACCGAGTTAACCTCCTTGGGACCGGAGTAACTTTACACCTCTCTTGGGCCGGAGTAACTTCATGGCCTTTTTACTCAGCCCTTCGCACTGTGGCCCATAACGGCCCATTACCCAGCTCGGCCCAATTTTCATATAAATTACCCTCTCAATAAGATAATGAAATTGTTACACTATTAGAAGCGAGAATGCCTGTGTGATTATGTATGGTTCAAGAGTACGGTCATATAGTACTCTATAGTAGTATGATTGATGGAGAATATGAAATATTAATTATTTGTGTTAAGTAATTAAGAAATATGAGATGGCATAATAAATGATAATTGATGAAAAAATTTGATCACATGATACTCCAGAACTATTATATAATTTTCCCTAAAATAGAAGTGTCCACTGATAATTTTATGTAGGGTGCAAGCCATTTACGGAATAAAACTGTTCACAAACATAATTTTAAGAATAAATTACACTTTGTCTCTTTATATTTGGTCACTTTTTTACTTGAGCTCTTAAAATTTATTTTTTTTCACTTTAACCTTTCATATTTGGAGTTTTTCTCAGTTTACTCTTAAAATTAATTTCTTTTAAAAATTAAACAAAAAATGACACATTAACAATCACGTGATATAAAAATATTTTATTATATATAATTCACATTTCTGACAAAAATTTAAAACATAATATAATCATATATATTTTTTATGTTATGTTACAGTTATTATGACATTTTCTATCTAATTTTGAACAGAAATTAACTTTAAGATTAAATTGGAAAAACCTTGAAACATAAATGAGAAAAATAAATCTTAAAAGGTCAAAATAAAAAAGTGATCAAATATAAAAAGGTCGAAGTATAATTTATCCTAATTGTAATACAAAAATTCGAATAGAACAATTTTGCAATAATATTTTTTAATGTTGTCAACGTCACTAATACTATTAGTATTATTACATTTTGAAAAAATTTTAAAACTCTAAAAGAAGAGTTTTAAAAAAGTTTTAATTTATCTTTTCTTCCCCTATGATTTGTCGTTTATAGAGTTTCATTTAGAGCTCTATACGCCGCGGCCACCACCATGATTTCTACCATTATCATCACTATAGCCACTGTCATCATAGGCATCACTATTATTTTCACTATCACCACTACAGTTGTTACTACCGTGAAGTGCATCACTACTACTACAACCATCTATTTAACACCACCACAACAACTGTGACTATGAGTTACCAGAACACAACTACACCACCACCATTACCAACACTGAAATATTTTGAAAAGTTAATAAAAAGTTGACTTTTTGATTTTTTAATTTTTTTGACAAAAAAATTAATATTTTTGGCTAAAAGAAGCTAAAAAATCAAAAAAAATAATTTTTTTAACTTCTTCCCAAAACACTCCACTATCACCAACACCAATATAAATAGTATAAGAGAAAAATCCATGAATTAGTAAAATTTAAATTTCAACTTCTTTTGCGTATTAAAAAACAACTTGACTAAAGTTGGGCACTTAAAATTATGTAAATATTAAACAGTTTCACATATTGTTTTTTTATAAATGACTACCAACGCCGATCATTAGTAACTCGAAACTCAAGTTTCCTAGAACGCCATTCTTCAAAATCGCAACACCTAGGCTCTCTCGTCTTCGTCAAGGATGGTTCGATCTCTTCAACCAACGAACAACATTCGATTGCAACAAAACTAACTTTTGAGCATTGTTTGGCAACAACCTTAACTCCCGATTTTCGTATCGAACAGCGAAGAAACGAAAGACTTTTCAACCTCGGAAGGTTGGTTGCTATGGCGGTTGCAGAGTCCTTGTCCAATGTAAAACTATTGACGTGGATGTGGAGGCTTTCGAGCTTGTTACAGTGTTTACCAAGTTGTCTGATAATGTCTATGTTGAAACCGCCATCGATTGGACCGATGATCAACAATTTGAGATGGGTCCAGTGAGTGATCGCCATTGCAAAGCTTGTTCCTGCTATTTTGCTTGTGTTGCTCAGGGAGATCATGGTGAGCCCTGGTGTTCTGTAACATATATCAATCACAATCATGTAAAGAATTTATTTAAGAAAAAATAAATAATATATGCAATAATAAGAGCTACTTGATACCAAATCCCTCTAATCAATATATACATATGAAATTCAGCATAATGATTCAATTAGCCGGTGATAGAAGGTTGTCTTGGGAATTGACTTCGTTAGTAATTTTTTTGTTTTTTATAAAAATGTGTAAAAAAAGTAATAGATTTATTTTATTTTTTTTTTTTTTGTGACTCAAAATGAAAGATGCTAGATGTGGATCTCACACGCATGTAGTAAAATTTTTAGACTCTCTAATAATACTATGTCAAAATAGGTCATATTACTGTTGGCAATGTTACAAAAATAAAGAGAAACTGAGAGAGAGAATATATCTCTATATATTTCAATAATTAATATGAGTGAATATAAGACTCCTTTATATAGGTGAAGGAGAAGCTAATATGGTAATATAGATATATGGTAAATATGATAAATAGAATATATAGTTACTATATTTAGCACCCCTCTCAAACTCAAGTATGGGTACCAACTTGAGTTTGAAGAGATAAACTAAAATATAAAATAAAACTAAAAAAATAAAATGAAAGGCAAATAGTGTGACACCCTGAGCGTTTACTTAAAAATATTTATAATTATATATAATTGTGGGTGTATGTAATAATATATTATTAAATAAATAATAATAAATACATAATCTAATTTGGCATTAAATTATTAAATATGGGATTAATTAGGGATTATTATTTGAGGTCAAATTAACAAAATATGAAATTATAATACTAGTTGGGCCAAATTAGAATTAAAGATAGTAAATAAATAAATATAAAAGTAAGAGTAAATAAATGATAATATTGATAACAATAATAATAATAATAATAACAATAATAAAAATAATAATAATAGTGGGTGTGGTAGTAACATAAATAATTAATTTTCTGTTGGTATACGATAAAGTATAATTTAATTAGGAATTACTTTATTTATATAATTATGCAAGAAAACTGGGCAAAAAGTGTAATTACTATAGGGCAAAAGTGTAATTACCACAAACATTCACTAAAATAAGTATAAATCTATGGTTAGTAATGAGCAAATCCAATGTGAGTTATGAGCAAATCCAAAGGAGGATTCAAGCTGGTCGCGTGTTAGCCTGATGATGTTTTTACCTCCCTATCAAATCTGTGGGAAGAAAAGGAAAGGAAAAAGGGGCACGTAAGTTACTGAAAGTAGGAAACTTATAGTAAGAAGGTTGTGATAGTGGAAAGTAAGGCTAAGGGTCAATATTAAGGTGAGTTACATTATACCTTCAGTTACCATAATATATTTTACGAATGTTTTGACTTACCATAATTTATTTTATATAAGTTATGTTTTATAAATTATATTAATATTTTAAATTACGCGAGTTATTTTCTAAACTCTATTTGTTTAAAATGAAACCCATAGATATGTTTGTTTAAATTTTAGTATATATTTGAGTATGACCTTATAAATAATAATATTTTGTAAGTACCACCACGGAAGTCTCACGCCTTGGGGGACACAAATAACCATTGGCCTCTGTTTGACCACTTTGTGGTCCTCTGTTTGTCATGGATCCATTGACCTCTGTTCTGACTGTCACTTCTGTGATCACTATTTTGTTCTATTCTGTACCGTGGTTATGGTTATTTATTTATATAATTTCTGTATTTCAATTTTTGCCACTTAAATGATTTATTCACCAAATTGAGTTATGTAAATGTTTTGGCCTAACTAACTATCCATGGTTATTTTATATTCCCTATACTCTTGGTATAATATTTCTCACTCTACTATGTGCTTATAGCTGTTACAATTTCAAGTGACGAGATGTAAGGGAAACCCATAGCCTCACGTAATGGAACCTGCACGAGGATTGATGTTGAACCACTATTTTGTTTTTTGTTTTTTATATATATATTTTTGCTCCCTTTTGTTTCTACTCAGGGCCGGACACTGAATAATAAAATAATAAAAACCCTATAAATATATTTTCTCTTATTAAAATAGTAAAATTGAGTAATTTCTTGTTTAATTATTTTTAGTTCCACTTGCGCAGTTTAATTTGCTGTGAATAGAATAAGTTAGTAAGTTGCGATTCCAACCCTATGTTCCTAGAGTTGGGTCGTGACAAATAGATTGCAAAGTCCGAATGGGAGCACAATGACACTTGAGATAGATTGGAGACTGGAGCTAATGTCCGGAGACAGTTTAAGGGTCATGTCCATGTCGGACCGTTGTAGAGACTAGATGTTGAACCATCAAGCGTGGCACACACATAACTTTATGATGTGGTGTTGAACGATAATGGAAACAGATGATTAAGTGCGCCAGGGGACAACTTGGATGATGCGATAAGGGGCGGCTTGGATGGTGCGCCAAGGGGAGGCTTTGGTGGTGCGCCAAGGAGATGGCTTAAAAAATGCGCCAAAAGGAGGCAGCTTAGAGAGTGCGCTAATGGGGCAGGTTATAGAGTGTGCTAAAAGGAGGCGGCTTAAAGAATGCGCCAGGGAACGGCTTAAAGAGTGTGCTGGGAAGGAACTTAGAGAGCGAGCTAGAGGGGGCGGCTTAGGTGGTTCACATGGTGTATCACCATACTCACCATGATATAGGGGGTGGTTTAGAGAGTGAACCGAAGGGGCGGCTTAGGTGGTTCACATGGTATATCACCATGCTGACCATGATCTAGGGCTTAGGTGGTTCACATGGTATGTCACTATACTCACCATGATATAGGGATAATACCCTCCCTCAAACTCAAATAGGTTTAAAGATAGAAACCTATATGAGGTTGAAACAGAAAGAAAGACAAAGTGGAGCAGAAATACACAAAAAAGAGAATTGCGGGTAAAAAATAAAAATAAAAAATGATAGAGATATTTGTGATAAGAATAAACAGCGGACAAAAGGAAGAGACCACCACAAAGCGATACTAACAGGAAAATATGACAGTGGAATAGGTTGAGGTCCGGCGGGCGGCCAAGGCAAGGCGGTAAAGTGAAATTACTAGGTACTTAACTTAACTTTGATACCATGTTATGAGAATAAAGAGAAACTAAGAGAGAGAAAAAGAGAATATAACTCTGTATATTTCAATAATTAATATGAGTGAATACAAGACTCCTTTATATAAGAGAAGGAAAAGCTAATATGGTAATGCAGAATATGGTTATGCCTAATATGATAATATAGATATATGATAAGTATGATAAATAGAATATATAGTTACTATATTTAACAGGCAAGAAGGCAAAGGTTTTTTTTTGCTATTTTTTTATGGATTTTTCCATTTTTTTTATAAAGAGATTTAGATGTTCCTGTCATTAAAATTTTAAGAATTTATTTTAGCCATGGTAAAAAAATAAAAAATAAAAAAAGGAAAAGAAGATGAATCTTGTTATAAAACGTATTTTTATTTTTATAGATTAAAAATACTCAAAAAATGACTTAAAAGAATGTAGTCAAAAAGAGTATATATATTGTCAATTTAAAAGGTAATATGGTATAATTTAAAATTATTACAATTTAGAAATAGATAATGTATTCAAAACTATACCTGTTGAAAATTATTACAATTTATTTGAGTCGAGTAATACTATTCAAATTTAGTTTGATATAATTTAACTTATGAGGTATAGGTACGGATACAAATATTGATATTGGTATAATACGAGTGTGTCAATATATAAAACAAGTAAGATATGGATACGATTTGATACGTTTGTAAACAAAATATTTATTTTTAATTTGAAATAGTGTAAAAATTGATTAAATGTTTAAATCCAACCTACAATTAATATTTAATGTCAAAAGTAAAGGTATAAACTAAAATTAAATGTCATTATATCAAATAATTTACAAACCATAACTTAATTTTAAAATCATGCTAAGTATAAAATTAAAAATAAAAAAGATATTCAATGAAAAGAATTTTATTTCTATAGTAGAAGAAACTATTGTTCAATTGGGATATATATTAAGTACGTTTGAGTACATCAAAAATTAATAAGAAAAAATTTAGATACATATTTCGTATACTAAGTATGTATACAATAAAATATCACACTCTAATCAAATAATGAAAAAATTTCATGATGCATTTCATGATATTTTTTTCATGATCCCTAATATTATTCATTAGTTAAGTTTAAGTTTAACTTTATTGAATTAAATAGTCAGTCTCGAATGAATTTTAACCTATACTATTTGAGATGATCTAAATAAATGTATTTTTTAAATTTTTATGAAAAGATGTGAAAAAAATAGAGAGATGATATAATCAAAAAAGAAAAAATAAATAAAAAGTGAACACCCAATGTTAGAAAAGAAAAAAGAAAAAAAAGAAGGTACACCTCTCTGCAATGTATAGAAGAATTCTATCAGAAACATGAAAGGAAGAAGGAAGCAAGAGTTGCCGAAGAGACTGACTCCAACCCTTTGCTGGGGTACCATATGCTTCGTTGCCTTGGAAAATACTTTGAATTAGTTTCATCGCTCTGATCTCCGTCTTCCAATACTCATCAACATCAGAAGGAGAAGAAGGCGGGCCTGATTTATCAGAAAACACTTCAAACTGTTGCAAATCAAAAAAATTCTGGTTCCAAAACATGACCTCCCAACATGCAAACCGCCATGAACGACATACCCACGACACACTCGAGCTCAAGTGCTCAACACATGTATTTCTGAATATTTTTGTGAGAATATTATGATCCATGTCACCCCATCCCCATGGAGAGCGTGGCTTCGTCACAATATCCATTGAATTCTTGTGTGTATCAGTGTATGTATGTGAAAAGAATATATATATATATATATGAATTATTGGTTGCTAAGTAGTCCTGACTATTATGCTAGTCTTCTACCAGAGTTCTACTTCTTGGTTTTTAGTATTTCATATGGAGTTGAATTCTATGTCACTAACTTCTTCTGTCCTAATATACTTCTCACTGTCATCTAAGAATCTCTAAACGCTTCTTTTATCTTAATACACTTCTATTCTAACTGTAAGATTATATGATAATTTGGAAACACAAGACTGTACAGATTAGGCCTATTTTTTTACAAAAAGGGAAAAGAGTTAACACTTTGTTGCTAGAAAACAATTTTTAACGGAAAAACATTTTACAAAAAATATTTTCTGTTATGTTTGGTTGTGTTCTTTAAAATTAATGTATTAGTTGTTGTGTTAGTGGTAGTCCGGTGGTGGGATGATACCGTGGTAGAAAGTGGTTGTGGTAGGCATTGGTAAGGCTTAAGTTCAAAAAATATTTATTCAAATAAGTTTATTTTCTTTTGATTTTTATTTTTCTCTACCCGACACTAGAAATTAGAGAAAATATTTCCCACCTAAACAAATAGATTATTAAAAGAGTACAAAAAAGGTAGCCTAAAATTTATTTAAAAAAGAGATGAGTAGTATAGATTTAAACTAATGCGGATGACACTCAAAATCAATCTAATTTATGAATTTTACTTTATTGAATTTTTAATAACTTTTTTAGGCTCTTCAACATTGTTTTCAAACATATATAGTTTAATTCTTATTAATGGACTCAATAATGAGAACGTTTGATAATTCAATTTAATACTTAAAAATTGAATGTAAAAAGTATAGATATATAGTATATTTTTTATAATCACAATTTGTATGACTTAAAATCTCATGCACCGATCACTGAATATATGCTTCATGTGTTTAAAAAGTAGGTCATCGCATATACCGCTTGGTCAAGCTCAGTATGTACAAGCACTTGGATGATAAGTTGATAACCAAACAAGCACTAACTACAATAATTTATAATTTATCTCCACACATGTTTTACATATATACATTTGACAAGTATCCATGTTTAGCAAATTCAAAATATTCAAATACAGTATGTTGGAACATTGGCCGGGTTATAGACGAAAGGTCTAACTGTGTGAGAATAACCTGATGGGTGATTGTAACCGAACTTGACACCTGAACTTCCCTCTCCCAGACTCGTGCAGTGTTCATGGAAGCTGCTGATAGGTCGTGCCAGGCAAGCATCCCAACGATCGCTTTCTGGCATTGTCTCTGCCACTGTGTACACCCCTTTGGAGTTTGTGAATGCCTGATAATTAAGAACTTCCCCGGATTTTGTTATGCAAAGAACAGCCACCTCAGCACCTGCACAAGAAGAACAACCAAAACTTCAGACAATATGCACCATAATACTTATTTATTTATTTGCTTCCAAATCTAACAGTATTGTTTTTCAGATAACATTTCATCGAAGAAATAATAGTCTCCATTTTGTTTTCCCAACGCAACTGAAGGCACAAGCCAACAACAACCATAATGTCAAACACATGACAAATAGCAGAGTAATCAGCAAAACATGTTTTCGAATAGGTGTAGAAAATTAATTATAAAATACCATAGAAAATTAATCATTATAGTACAGTAGTCACCAAAAGAGCTTGCTTGGTTCTAATTTTTCAAAAACACTTTTCAAAAAATTCTACTTTATTATTTTTACTGAATTTTTTTTAATATTTTAAGCAATTTTTTTACTTTTTAGACACACCTAACATAAATACATCTAAAAAGTAAAAAAATTATAAAAAAAATCTTTTAAAAATTCACTAAATACCAAAAATACAAAAAAAAAATACAAGAATTCAGTACATTTTTTATATTTCTATATATTTATTAATATTTTAAAATATTTTTTCACAAATTTTTTACTTTTTAGATACATTTAAGTAAGGTGCATCTAAAAAAGTAAAAAAAATGTTTAAAATTTTAAAAATATTCACTAAAAACAAAAAAAATACGAAAACTAAAAAATTCAATTTTCAAAAAACTTAATCCAGAAAACTCAAACCAAACATATTGATTGGGATTCTACACAAGCAACAATTTGGGTTCCTTTCAAATCTCATGGAACAATATCAAATGTGAAGGGTATTTCTGGTTGTTCTTCCAATTATTATTATTTTTTAAAATTTTCCAGAAAATTTGTTTAGGAACTGTTTCCGAAAACAACAATCATTTTTAGGAAACATCAAAAGTTCTTGAATTTTTTAAAACTATTTTCGCATAATAATAAAAATGATGGGAGTTCGACTATTTTTGAAAAAGAAACGAAAAACGAAAACAAAAACACAACCAGACAGGCTATTAGTTTCTTCGTGCTCACCAATGCATTAACTAGATAAGAAGAAGCTTAATATTCCACATCAAACACAACATAGAGCCATGGCAAATTACAACTGGAAGGAAGTGGGACGTAAGTGTCCATTACGCAGAAGGAGAGCCAAAGTGGTAGTAGAAGTAAAAGTGCATAATCCCCGATTTTGGAAAGACCTAAGAACCAGAGCACCTTAAGGATATCGATGTTAATGTATAAGCAAATCTTTTGTTTTTCAAAAATTAATTGAATTTTTACTTATGTCAATTTGAAAAATCATTAACCATACAATCCTCTCACTTAATCAAGAAAAAAAAGTTACAAGGAGGCTCTAGACAACAGCCCTTGGAGTTGGGGGCAATGAAATGATCCAAATCCCAGAGTGTGAATAAAGAATGGGGTTCAATTCAATCTACATAGGCTTCTAGACAAATAAGTGCCATTAGAAATTTAGAGTGCAGTCTTGGGTTTGTGATGAAAATGCAGCGTTTGCTTACGCCAAAACAATACAAAGACCTCAACTTCTGTAATGTAAATATTTTATTGCTTCAGTTCAACCCACATTAGGAGATGTAATAGGCTGATCATTTACATTTAAAATGAAAAATAAATGTTATTAAAAGTCAATCCTAAATGAAACCCCTGATTGGGGGTAGCAATTGAAAATTGAGTATGTGTGCAAAAAAAAAGATCAGTTCTTTACAATTACAGCACAGCGAGTAAAACCCAACATAGATATGGAGGTTACTTATAAAGATTATCATAAATCGCAACCAAAATCGTAAAATTGAAACAAATTAATGATAACATCAAAATCAAGGTCATTTTTTCCTATCATCATAATCAATTCAATTATCTAATTCATCATGCTCACAAAACCCCTTTATCACAAGCCTCCCACACAAAGATACATGAATTGAGTAATCAATCAGCAGAAATCAGGTATTTTGATGGAGAGAGAGGGAGAGAGGAGTGACCTTGTAAAACATGATCTTCGGGGCCGATAGAAGAATCACCACAGAGATCACAGACGACTCTGCCATTGATTTCACCCGTCCAAGCTCTCACGCCACAAATCATCATCATCATCATCATCATCATGAGGATCGTATAGAGAGAAAGCGACACTGATACTTTCTTCGACGACGACTCCATAGCTGCGCTTCCTTCACCACGCACTCTAGAGCTCCAGTCCAGCTTCTTCCACGAATTTATCCTAACCGGTAACAGGAAGTACCCGGTAATATATCTTTAGATAAATTACAAATACACCCTAAAATTTGATTAAAATACGAATCGCCCTTGTAATTTTAGAAATTATGATTTCTAATTTCATAACAAATTATTCCTTTTATTAATAAATCATCAAGTCAATTAATAATTTTTAATGATGTTAGAAATATGTTTTAATTAATAATTTGAATAATACTATATGTACCAATTAAAGTACATACTAGTGTACTAACAGATGATTTGGCTTCATTTGTCTGGTTTTAGGTATTTGTAACTTGTATAATAAATGTGATCAATAATAATATCATAACACTAGTTGGTATATTAGTGTGTACACTAATTGGTGCATATAGCACCACCGTAATAATTTAGGTAATTTTATTATTGTATAGGAAAGCAATTATGAATTTTATTTTTTAGTTAATTCTGTTAAATAAAAATATTAACAAAGAGATATTTATAATTTTCTAAATCACAGGGGATAATTATACTTTAAACAAATTTCATAGATGTATTTATAATTTACTCTATTTATTCTATACATAAATTCTACAATAAACAAATTTAATTTTCATCATGCAGCCACTTAATCAAAAAAAAAATATTGATGGATAAATCTGGATCCGAAACTTTCCCATTGGGGATAATAGCCTAAAAGATATTTGGTAAGAATATGTAAACACCTTCACTTAAATTTAAATTTGATAGATAAACAAATTAAAAGTAAGTTCTAATAACTTGTATCATGATTGAAAAAAAAATGCAATCAAAATAAACAGGTAGCACTCTTGCTAGAATTGCCAAGATGAAAGTCATACTCGCCGACATCAAGTTCGGATCCTCTTCTTGAGGCCCCTCCTCCACATCCTGCTTGCAACGGCTCAAATCCAACAGTTGAGATTAAAAAAAAAAAAAAAATTGTAATTTTGGTCGCTCTCCCGCCCAAACAAAAACACAGCTCAAAGGTTATACAGATACAGAGCTTTCTCACACAGCACTCAGCACACACCCTTTCTCCTCTGTCGAACCCATCCTCACCGGCGGCGACCCACTGTTGATACAGATTCTGTCTGCTTCGCTGCTACGTTCTTCTCTTCCACCTCACCGAACCGTTCGCTGCTACGACCCAATCTCGACGCCGTTGCAGATCCGACGACGGAGAAACACTCTCGATGCCGTTACAGATTCTGTGTACTTGGAAAAAAACAGGGGTCTTTTATTCTGTAGTTGAAGTTGATTTGTAAATTTCTCTTTTTCTAATTCGTTTTCTTCCTTTCAAAATTTAGAGTTATTAAACAATCCTGGAATTTGAATTCTAATTATTCAGACGAAAACTTGGCCCCTTAATTTACAGAATAGAATGTTTTTTTAGCCTAAAGTTCAAATCTTTTTTGCCCAAAGAAATTATTTCTCTGGAAACAAACGAAGGTTTTTGATTCTTAGCTGAGGTTGATTTGTGAATTTTTCTTTTCTAGTCCATTTTTTTTTTCCTTTCAAAAATTTATGAAAATTTGGTCCACTGGACTTGCTGTGGTTGTGAAACTCGCAATTTTGTTGTCAAGCCTGCAATTGGTCTTTGGGATTAGATTTGTGATTGATAGGAAGGAATGCTTCTCACACAAGGTTGAATACGATGGTTGTTTTTGGAATGAAGGATCAATAACTTGCTCAAAATGCAATGGTTTTGGATCTTTGTGATCAATTTTTGGTTCATAGAACAAGGTGTTGAAATTAGTTGTTTGTCGCAGCTGATGCATGTGATTGTTCATTGTGATCAATTTTTGGTTTATAGATCCGTCAAGAACAAGGTGATCAGGTATATCAAGAGTTGATATTAGTTGCCCGATGTTGGCAGTTTTCCTGCCAACAAACATGGATATGACTTTTGTAATTTTGTTTTCAGAATCTGTTTTCTAAAAATAATAAAAGCTAATTTGGTGAAAATAAACACTTAAAAATGCCTTATTAAAAATATTCTTGCACCCAAATAAAATGTAGTACAAAATTTTTTAATTTTTTTTTTATTACCAAATTAGTTTCAATGTTTTTCAGAAACAGATTTTGAAAACAAAATCAAATAATTGAATAGGATTTGTTTAAAAAAAAAAAAAGGTCCAAGAGAACGCATGAACCAAAAACCACTCCACTAATCAAATAAGTAAGACATGAGATGAGAACGAAAAAGAAAATCATAGAATAGTACAAGGCAGAGACAACAAACCAATAGCCAAAGCTTCACATGATAATCCACCAAATCAGTACATATACATACAATAATGTAGTTTTACAACACATAAAATGGATTCAAGCAGCACCCATCATCAATCTACAGCTTCTAAAATGTGGTGGGAATACTATGAACATGTTCTTTTACTGAAGCTCTTGCTCAGGGAAATAGCCTTAAGATTCAGCATCCGGGGCTTGCATGCAGCAAAACCATTTTTTTTGCAAATCAGTACGTCTTCCATATTAGCAAATAATAAGAAAACAAATAGCCCAACAATAACGTTCAGATGCTTCTTTTGTGTGCTTCAGAAGAACGTGACGACTCTGGTTTGCCAAGTACACAGAATCTGTAACGGCGTCGAGAGTGTTTCTCCGTCGTCGGATCTGCAACGGCGTTAAGATTAGGTCACCGCCGGTATTGGGTCGCCGGTGATGGTGGGTTCGACGGAGAAGAAGGAATGAGTGTGTTTTTGTGAGTGTGATTAGAAAGCAAAATCTGTATAGGCTCTGTTCTGTCTTTGGGCGGGAAAATGAAAATGAAATTTCACTTTTTTTTTTTTTTTTTTAATGGCCGTTTGATCTGCAACGACTGATCTCAGCCGTTGCCAGTAGGAAATGAAGGAGGGGGCCTGAAGGAGAGGATCCGGACTCGTCAAAACAAGCCTTACCATGAATTGCCGCCAATGTAGTGACGTGCCATGTGGGATCTCCCTCTTCGTTAATTTATAATTATATATTAAATAAAAAATAAAAATTATAAATTATAAATTTAATTTAATTGAAAATAATAAATTAAAATAATTAAAATATTGTGCAAAAAAGAAAATAAAATAAATTTTTATTTAATCTAGCTAAAAATAATTAAAATATTAAAGTTATGTTTAATATTACTATTACTTTAGTAAATAATTGAAAAGGATAAAATAATCATTTGAGTATTTATCCTTCTTCATAATATTTCAAACAAATATTGGATAATTAAAAATAATCTAATCCAGCCATCTAATCCCATGACTAAACAATTATAGGATACAAATTTAGTCCAACTAAATAGTCCCAGGACAATGTATCCCAAGACTAATAGTCCGATGAATTACAATTCTCTCTTATCCAGTCTGTCCAAACAAACGCACCCTAAATAAATCTCATCAATGTATTTGTAATTTATCCTATTTATTCTATACATGAATTCTACAATAAACAAATTTAGGCTCCGTTTGGGAAGAAAAAAGTCAGATTTTTTTGGCTAAAATAGCCACAAAAAACAAAATAGGCTATTTTAGCCACAAAAAACAAAACATCAAATCCAACCCATAATCATTACAATCCTCTCTCACAAAAAAAGTCAAAAAAGCCAAAAAACCAAAAAGCGACAAAACCCATAGATTGAATTTTTTTTGATGAGTTATATTTTTATTAAAATTTAATGAAAATTTAAAAATAATAAAAATTGAAGAGAATTTTGTAATACAAAATTATTAAAACATGTTTTTAGTATATATACATGTCCATTGATTGATTAGGCAAATATGCACCCGTAAAAGCATCTCCAACGTTGTATTTTTTTTATATTAAAATTTGAGTAAAAATTTAAGTAAAAAATCTATCTGATATCACTTGCTCCAAAGAAGGATTTTGAATTTTCATCAAAATACAGGTCGATTGGGTGTTCGATCGGCCAGTGTAATTTTTTTCACAAATTTTTACAAAGAGATGGTCATCTGACTGGACATCCGACTGGTCGTCTAGTGGTGAAAATACAACCGCTATGAATAGTAAATTGATGAAAGCTCCCAGCTATCCTCAATTTGGTGAAAGATTTAACATATCCTCGATTTGATACTTTCTGGTGAAATGATTGGAGTAGAAAAATGACATTTTTCATCAAATTTAAATTTGATAAAACAATAGGTAAAACATTGGAGATGGTCTAATAGCAAATCAACTGGTAAATCTCATTATCCTTCTTACATCTTATAGCTCCATTGATTTTTTATTTTTTTTTAATAAAAAACTTGACAAAAAAATTAAGAATTAAAGTGATTCATATGAAATGAAAATCAATTTTTTATAAAAAGTTAATAAAATAATTGGAGATGCTGACAAGAGAATTCACTTAAATGATTTTTAAAAAAAATTTATTTTCATTAATGTTAAGTTTGGGAAGTTCAAAATAACCTATATTTTTATCTTTTTATCTTTTTTTCATCATATCACCTCATTATTTTTTTGCACATCTTTTCGTAAAAAGATAAAAAGTGCACTTATTTAGGTCATCCCAAACAACCCCTAAGCAAGGTGCAAACCATTTTTATTAAGTTTATTTAACCACCACATTTTCATTGAATTGATAATTAATTATCATTTTTAATAAATTGTTTTGTAACTTTTTTTATTTAATTTATTTGGAACATTATGTGGGTGTTTGAGAAGTGGGTTTTTATGTAGGTTTTTTTAGTTGTAGGATATTATTGGATAAATTTTCTTTGGTGTTTGAGAAGATAGTTAGATTTTTTTATGGTTAGATGTAGGGGTGAGCAGCGGATATACCGATCCGCCAAAACCGACCGAACCGAACCGATCCGCCGCATTTTGGACGGATGCGTGATGACGAGCGGACGGTTGCGGATTGATTTTTTCCAATCCGCCAATTTGGCGGACGGATGGCGGATTTGAGATTTTGTGGCCGCAACCGAACCGCCAAACCGCCGGCCGAGATAACATTAGCTCGGCACTTCCATTCATTGCTCTTA